ACCTGGGTTTGTCTCGGGGGGGGACACACCCATGGGTTGAGGAACGCCTGGGTCCATCCGGGGGAACATCTGGATCCATCTGGGGGATGCGTCTGAGTCTCTGGGCTGAGGAACACCTGGGTCTGTCTTGAGGAACATTTGGGTCCACCTGGGCTGGAGAACATCTGGGTTCATCTGGGAGAACATCTGGGTCCATCTTAGAGGGATGCATGGGTCCGTGGGTTGAGGAATACCTGGGTCCCTCTTGGGGACACACACCTGGGTCCATCTGGAGAACATCTGGGTCCATCTTGAGGGTCACCTGGAAGCCAGGGACCCTCAGGAGGGGGAAACATGGGGGGCTCTGGTGGAGGAGCTAGATGCCTGGGACCCTCCGGAGGACAAGACACCTGGGTCCCCTTGGACAGTCCCCACCCCGGGGGCCTGATCCTGTCCCCACCACTCCCAGCTGTACCTTGCCATCGCCCTCATCGCCGTCGTCGTCGTCACCGGTTGCTTCGGCTACTACCAGGAGTTCAAGAGCACCAACATCATCGCCAGCTTCAAGAACCTCGTTCCTCAGGTGGGACCACCTGGATGCCTGGGTCCCTTCCCTACCAGGACACCTGGGTGCCCACGTGGCCACCTGGATTCCCCTGTCACCCCCAGCAAGCCACCGTGATCCGAGAAGGGGACAAGCTGCAGATCAACGCCAACGAGTTGGTGGTCGGTGACCTGGTGGAGATCAAAGGAGGGGACCGAGTTCCTGCAGATATCCGCATCATCTCAGCTCAAGGTTGCAAGGTGAGCCCGGATGTCTGGGTCCCTTTTTTGGGGTGGGGTGGGGAAACAGGTGCCCGGACACCCTGGGGTGAGCCATGTCCTCCCACCACCATCTCCAGGTGGACAACTCATCATTGACGGGGGAGTCGGAGCCTCAGACGCGGTCACCCGAGTGCACCCATGACTCACCCTTGGAGACCCGCAACATTGCCTTCTTCTCCACCATGTGCCTAGAAGGTGCATCCCACCCTGACACCCGGGTCCCACCTGGACACCTGGGTCCCACCTAGATGCCTAGGTCCCCTAACCCACCCAGATACCTATAGGGACGGCCATGGGGTTGGTGATCAACACGGGTGACCGGACCATCATCGGGCGTATCGCCAGCTTAGCCTCTGGGGTGGAGAACGAGAAGACGCCCATCGCCATCGAGATCGAGCACTTCGTTGACATCATCGCCGGCCTCGCCATCTTCTTCGGCGCCACTTTCTTTGTGGTGGCCATGGTCATCGGCTACCCCTTCCTCCGCGCCATGGTCTTCTTCATGGCCATCGTCGTGGCCTACGTCCCTGAGGGGCTGCTGGCCACCGTCACGGTATGGCTTGGGGCATCATGGGGGTTGGAGCTATGGGGCTGTGGGTCCCATCACAAACCATGGGTGCTACGAGGCCCTTGAGGATCTTCATGGGACTTATATGAGACCTATGGGGCCAACACAACCCAGGGGTTCTGCATGGGCCTGATGGTCCCTATGGGGGGGCATCAAAGGCCTTCCTGGAGGTCCCCATGGCTCCAAAGCCACCACAGGAACTCCAGTAGGCCCTCACGGGTCCATCACAAACCATGGATGATACAAGATCCTTGAGGATCTTCATGGGGCTCACATAGGACCCAGAGGTCCATTGCAACCCAAGGATGTGATATGGGTTCTGGTTGTCCCTACGGGTCCATGGGCATCAACTGCTTTCCTGGAGGTCCTTGTGGCTCCAAGGCCACCACACCAGCTCCAGGAGGTCGCCAAGGGTCTCATGGGTGCCATAGGGCTCCCAGGGTTCCCCGAGGTGTCGATGGTCTTCCTGGGCCCCAGGTTTGCCTCTCGTTGACGGCGAAGAGGTTGGCGCGGAAGAACTGCGTGGTGAAGAACCTGGAAGCGGTAGAGACATTGGGTTCCACCTCGGTCATCTGCTCCGACAAGACGGGGACCCTGACCCAGAACCGAATGACGGTGGCGCATCTCTGGTTCGACAACCAGATCCATACAGCCGACACTACCGAGGACCAATCGGGTGAGTCAGATGTCCGGGCCCACCCCTTACCTCTTTTGCGCCCACCTGAGGTGACGCCCCACGCGTCTACGTCCCACCACCCAGGTCAGAGCTTCGACCAATCGTCGGAGACGTGGACCATGCTGAGCCGCGTCATCACCCTCTGCAATAGGGCTCAGTTCAAGCCGGGACAAGACAACGTCCCCGTGGCCAAGGTGGGACCTAT